CTCAGGTTACAATGCAGACACTGGGCAATTCCCCACAAGAAGGAGGAAAAAGCTGCCAAACTGATCCAATTGACTGGGTGAAACTATTGCCCCTGGCAGGGCAATTCTAGAAGAGAGAATAATCTTAAAATACAAATTAGACCGTTCAGGAACCACATCTCCACACAAAACGGATTGGGAATTTGGAATTCCCAGAAAGCTGGAAGGATGAAGGGAATGTGGCAGGCACCAATTCCAAGTGTCAGTACTGAGACTGGTAGAATTTCCAGCAACGGTATTAAAGTCTGAGGTAGGTAGATGGAGTTAAGATCCAGATCGGTCTTTATCAAACTGAATGCTGGAATAGTATAAATAATAATTGTATGGCAAAGAAAAGGCTTAAGGGGCTACACATGTTTCCATGTTCCTGTAATAACATTAGAATGAATCTCACTGAATAAGTTCAAAATCTATTTTAGAAATGCTTCAAGGCTCAGTGAAGAAAGAGCTTCCATTTACATAGTAATTTTCATATTGTCAGCAAATTGCACCATGCTTTAACAACCAATGAACAAGATGCACTGTAGTAACTCCCCAAGATTCTTTCAACAGTGCCTTCCAACCCCAGGACTGCCACCAGATGCATGGGAGCATCACCACTGCAGACTCCCCTCCAAGCTGCACACCATCCTGACTTGAAACTATGTCATCGTTCTATCACTGTTGCTTGGCCAAAACTCTTGAATGCTCTTCCTAACAGCACTACAGGTTACAGTACAAGGACAGTTCAAGGAGACAGTTCACCATCACTTTGACCAGAGCAATTAGGGGTAGGCAATAAATGCTGGCCCAGCCAGTGATGCAGATATCTCATGAAAGAATAAAAAAAATGTAGTCACTGTTTAATGTATGAAAAGTGTCAACCAATTGGTGCACAGCATGGTTCCACAAACAACTGTGAAATAAGTGATCAGATGACCCTTCCCCAGCGAGGGTAAATGTAAGACAAAGTATCAATCGACCTGCCTCCTCCATGGGATCTTTTACGACAGTTCAAGTACTTGGAGTCGTGTTTGAGCTCAAAACCTTCTGACTCAGAGAGGGAACACAACCACTGAGCCAATAGTGACATTTCTTCAGGCTTGCCTTTGTTCCTAATTGACTGATTTTAGCTGGATTGCCAACTGATGTAGCAAGAGAACCTTGTATTTGGCTTCAACGCCCCTGGGCCAGCAAAATAAATACTGTCGCTAAGATTCTTTTTCCTGTTTTCTATCCAATGATTGTCTTTCAATTGGGTTGTGACATGGAACAATATTCAGATCAGACAGGGATAAGGTAGGGGACTGGGATTAACTTGTATTAATAGTGTTTACAACATTGAGAAAATGAATCAAAATCTATCATAAGCTAAATAACTAACATTTTCTTGAGAAATAAATAGGGAGAAGCACAATGATAAAGCATAGAGGGAGACCATTTGGCCCATCTTGCTGTTACAGCTCTTTGAAATATCTGTCCAATTAATCCCACTGCTCTGCTCTCTCCCTCCAGCCCAGTGCATTTTCCTTTTCAAATATTTATCAAATTCTCTTTTGAAAGTTGCAAGAAAAGCTTTACATTTTATGTTTGCTTTTACTTTAATTTCAGAAATTCCCAAACACCTGGCTGTCATTCTGTTCTAAAGCAGACAACTGGCCACTCTATAAACTGATCACTGCCCTTCTTATTAAAATGGACAAGAAACCATCACAGCCAAAGTAATGTAACTGTCCTGGGTGGATATTTTCTCCCTCACTCTCTCTCTCTCTTAGGATAACAGCAGTGACTTTCTAAATAATTAGATTTCTAGAACACAATAAAAGTGAGACTCACTCTGGGTCCCTGTGCAGATAGATTTCCAAACGATACTCCAAATTGCTGCCCTTGGGAGGTTGTTAATGAAATAAATACTCAAAAAAGCATGAGTGACTGCTGTATTTGACTGCACTGTCTGATATATTTCAAGATACTGCATGATGCAAGTTGAAGTAATACATTGCTCTCATCTTAAAGGATAGATAATTAGCATGCAGCAATTGACAGCAAAGCATGATGTTGCTTGGTACAGACATAGGGGAGAAACATCTTTGATCCTCCAGGTGATTTGAATTAGAGTTTCCCCTATGTTAAATTCGTTACTCCCCAAGGTTTCCCTGTCTTTATTGAAAGTACTCCATTAGGTTCGGTGTGATACAACAGCCAAATCAGAACAAAAAAATGAAGACATATAGGATTAAGCAATGAGCATGCTCTTGAATGGAGAGCAGTGATGGATGCAAAGATGTGGTTGGAAGGATTTATAAGGGCCACTTGGAGCTGCATTGTGACCGAACAGATGATGTGATCCGTTGCTACTTAATTCTGAAGCAGTACCATTTCCTTTTTGAGGAAGGTATTTCTTCAACGTGGGCAACGTTTTTTTAAGCTTTGGGATTTTTTCAAAAAGATTTAGGAACATTATAAAGTTGACACAAGAACAGGAAGTTTATCCAATGAATCCAGAGATAACACAGTGTGGAGCTGGAGGAGCACAGCAGGCCAGGTAGCACCAGGGGAGCGGGAAAGTTGACGTTTCCTGTTCCCCTAATGCTGCCTGGCCTGCTGTGCTCCTCCA